GAAATTAAATCAACTTTATCCATCAGCATCTCTTCAGAACAAAGCCTTATACTTCACTTCTTTTGCCCGAGAGAAGCCGCTGAGAACAGGGAAGCTCTGACCGGGCTGGGAAGGTGAAGCCAGGTGCCCCCTCCCTTGTGTCCCATCAGCCCAGCCCCCTGCCATCTCAACTTCTGACTAGAATAATGTCCATTTAAAATAAGGTTGAGTGCTTTCCCTGAATTCGCCGGTGACACGGACATGCGTGGGCCCTTTGGTTCCCTGTGGGTTTTACTGTCCCTTCCACGCGTGTTACACCGGCTAATTGCAAAGCAGCTTCCTCACGCTCCCGACACGGGCTCGTCCTGCTGAGGCCGGCAGGGTCGATGAAGGCCGGCTGCCAGGAAACCATCCTCCCGTCCTCGCCAGTCAACTCTGGCCATTTCGACAGAGGCAGCCCACTTCTCCGAGGTCATTCCCAGCCAGGGACTCGTGCCAGCGGAGGCTGGGAAGTTCTGCCTGGCGTGCCGGCCACGCTTGGCTTCGTGGGCTACTCTGCCAGGAGCCAGGTACCGTCCCGGTTCAGGGGCTTCGGCTGGCCCAGCTGGGACTGCAAGCTGCTCTCTGCCATTCTGAGCAGAGAACTACAACTTGGGGCCTCGGACACCTGACAGCAGGCTTCCGGAAATGGGTGCAGCACTTCAGTACGGAGGCAGGAGGGAGTGTGAGGATGTGGTCTCCACCCCTCCATACTCCCCAGACTGGGTGTCATGTCCCTCACTGGGCTCCCATAGCCCCGGGTGTCCTTGGCCATAACGACTGTGCTGGAATCACTCGTGTAAACCGTCCCCCAGTACACTGAAGACACTGTGAAACAAGGCAAACCATGATCTCAAAGCTGAGTGTCCCCAGATCTTACTGTGGTGTCCGGTGCGGAACAGAGCCAACGAGTCATGTGCATGAATGGCTGGGTGGACTGCCTGACGAATGACGTGAGGAAGCCAAATGACCATCTTTTATTTTTTAATTTTTATATTATTTTTATCTTTAGGCAAGGCAACCCTTGGTTGACCTCAGATTGCAAGGACCTTGTCAGCTTACAATCTCTTATCTTTTACACCTACAGCACCTGGTCTTCCTAGGTGGTCTCCTATCCAAGTACTAACTAGGCCCGACCCTGATTAGCTTCTGAGATCAGATGGGATCAGGCTTGTTCAGGGTAGTATGGTAGTAGACTATCTCTCTGTTTTCACACA